TGAACCCTCTTCATACAGAGAAGCTCAAGCTTCGGTCAACAAGCTTGAATGGAATGCTGCTATGGAGCGAGAGATGAAGTCACTGATTGACAACAAGACTTGGGAGTTGGTTGAGCTTCCTAAAAATCAGACAGTGATTGACTCCAAGTGAGCAGGAAAAGGGTGTGGATTATAACGAAGTTTTTTTGCCTGTAGCAAAATACGCTACAATTCGTCTGGTATGTGCACTGGCCGCAACATTCAGTCTTGTTATGGATTAGATGGATGTGGTTACAGCTTTTCTTTATGGATATTTAGAGGAGGAGATCTACATGAGACAACCAATTGGCTTTGAGGTCAAAGGCCAGGAGAGATGGGTCTGTAGATTACTGAAATCATTGTATGGACTGAAGCAAGCTCCTAGGCAGTGGAATACACGTTTTGATGAGTTTATGAAGGCACAAGGTTTTCTACGAAGCGTGTATGATCCTTGTGTCTATATGAAGAAGGTGAATGATGAGACTTTCAATCTCATCATTTTAGTACTCTACGTTGACGACATGCTTATCTTGGCAAAGAATCAATCCGATGTCGATGAATGCAAAAGCCAGCTGAAGTCTGCATTTAAGATGAAGGATATGGGGGAGTCAAGAAGGATACTAGGCATGGATATTTATAGAGATTTTGAACAGAAGAAGCTATGGCTGAGTCAGGACAAGTATGTTCGCCGTATACTTGACAGGTTCAACATGGCCGATTCGAAAGGAGTATGGACTCCTCTGCCGGCACATTTAAAACTTTCCGCAGCCCAATGTCTTACAGATGCTGTGGAAAAGGTAAAAATGTCATGTGTTCCCTATGAACAAGCTGTATGCAGTCTCATGTATTTAATGGTGTGCACTAGGCCTGATATTGCTCTAGCAATGGGAAAGGTGAGCAGGTACATGTCAAATCCAGGAAAAGTTCACTGGGAAGCAGTGAAATGGATTCTGAGATATCTGAAGAGTATTGTGGATTATGGCTTATTGTTTGATGGCTTATTAGACAATGCCAAGTCCATGTTTGGTTACGTTGATGCTGACTATGGACAAGATTTAGACAAGAGGAGATCTACAACCGGATATGTGTTTACACTTGGCGGCGGAAGCATTAGTTGGAGATCTACCTTGCAGAAGTGCATAGCTCAGTCAACAACAGAAGCTGAGTACGTGGCAGCAGCAGAAGCAGCAAAGGAAGCTATTTGGTTAGATAAGCTTATCATGGAGATGGGACTAACACAAGGCGTGGTCAATCTTCATTGTGATAGCCAGAGTGCTTTACATTTGGCTGCGAATCAAGTCATGGATAGCCGAGTGAAGCACATCGACATCAGGTATCACTTTATTAGACAAGCGGTGTCTGATAAAACAATTGAGCTAGTCAAGATTGATGGTAAACTCAATCCAGCTGATGCGTTGACCAAAGTTATTCCTTTGGAGAGTTTCAGGCGACATTGTGCTACTATGCAAGTTGTGCATAGGGAGCACGAGAGATATGGTTCTTAGTTACCTCTGTATATTGTTACTCTATCCTCTTATGGCTACGGTTTAGTTTTAGTTAACTCTCGTTTAAAGAGGGACCTTGTGATAGGTTTCCGTCTAGAACTTTCCGCAGAGTAATAATATAGGTTAGAGAGGTGATTAAAATTCCTTGACATGAATTAAAGTGAGATATTGTTGAGTTACCTCTGTATATTATTACTCTATCTTGGTATGAGAGTAATAATATAGGTTAGAGAGGTTACTGAGATTCCTTAACGCGAGTTAAGGGGGAGATTGTTGATATTAACTATTGTTGAGTTACCTCTGTATATTATTACTCTATCTTGGTATGAGAGTAATAATATAGGTTAGAGAGGTTACTGAGATTCCTTAACGCGAGTTAAGGGGGAGATTGTTGATATTAACTATTGTTGAGTTACCTCTGTATATTATTACTCTATCTTGGTATGAGAGTAATAATATAGGTTAGAGAGGTTACTGAGATTCCTTAACGCGAGTTAAGGGGGAGATTGTTGATATTAACTCTGGTTAAGGAGTTAACTGAGGTTAGTTAACCTTGGTTAACCGCATATGTAGCTATTTATAGCTTAGGTGGTTGACTACCTTGGATATATATACCCTGAGGGTGATAGGAAGAGTATCACTTCAAGCATTCAAGCAGTAAACTCTCTAGTGCTCTTCTCCCCGTGGACGTAACCTTTAAGGGTGAACCACGTTATACTCTCGTGTAACTCGTGTTGGTGTGACTCTGGTGTCGGTGTGACGGTTCTGAGTTTTAACGTTAACACATATGAGTTCCAATGAGTTTCATAATTAATTTACCTTCAATAACGCACACTTTGCAAATTAATTATGTCCCTTTGCAGTCGAAAAGAAATGAATACAATGATTCTTATAGTTCATAGTTACTGCATGTGTTTCACTCCCATATCACCACTCAATCATTAAAGTGTTCTCTGTTCAATTCCATGTTGTTCAAATACATGTAAATTCAATGTTTTCTTTAACAAAAGTGGTTGTTTTATTGATCTATCATTCTTGTCAAAATCTACGTTAGGCCCATTATATAAAGTTGCAAAGGTGTGCACCTTTGGATTTGTGTTTGACTTAAGTATGAAAACCTTGCAATGGTATGACTCTTTACAATGCAAATTCTCTCGTTACTCTATATCACTATGGATCTTACGGTCATCCATGCTGTGCGAATCCATAATGAAATCGAAGTTCAGTGTTTCCAGGTAAAATAGCTCTGATTTTAGCAAGGGGAAAATCTACAAGTTTATTTTTGTGCTTAAATAGCTCTTGCAAGTGTGTAATCGATGTCAAATTCAAATCAGGACCGGAGATTGAACTAGATACAATCAGATTCTTCACTAAGAAAAGATTGTCATATTATCCTCTCAAGTGCGCGGTTCCCAACCCTGCGTACACAACAATATTGAACCTAGTCGTACACTCTCTCTCGCCATTAAAGTCACGTGGGGCCATTTCGCACTTTTTACCTCATATACGATAAAAATCTTTGAGAGTTACTATAGAGAGATTCTGGTACCGGTTAATAACATACCGGACTCAACTTTTTACTTGCTCCTACGTGACCAAAGTGACCTTCATTAGATATTTGTGAGTTCTTTTCGCTAGTCACAAATCAACACATCCTTGGCACAATAAAAGTAAAACGTGCTAAACAATCCCGTATTAAGCTTCCGATCTGCTGGTGAACAAGATTGTGTCGATCTGACTGTGCTATTCAATCAAATGTTGCTTCAGTTGAGTTTCAAGTGATATATTTCGCGAGAAAGTTCACCTCGTTCGTTGTCTAACCACAACAATCTAAGGGCCAAACCACACGACCCGCAGCGGCAGCTAATCCTCGCTTGTTATTGGCACCCGAGGCTCCCCCTTTACCACACTGGAGGGAGCGGCAATTTGATATATAGATTTGATATAGAAATCGACTTCTCAAAACTACCAGGCACTTCCGACTCGAAACCCGGTTTTTCCGGAATATATAGACTCCACGTGTACTTTCGCGCCTTCCTGGGTTACTCTTCCAAAGACTTCTCACCGCTGGAGATCCGGTTTTTCCGGAATATATAGACTCCACGTGTACTTTCGCGCCTTCCTGGGTTACTCTTCTAAAGACTTCTCACCGCTGCGTTGCAATTAGTAGACATATTTTTCCCTTTTCACTCCAAAGGCACTACCGGTAGTGTCGTAGAGGTTATGGAATTCTCTCCAGCTGGCCAACTTAGGCCTACGAAAACCTGGTTTTCTTATAGCCAGGAGCTTGGTGCCGGCTGCCGGTAGTGTGGTAAGGCCCTAAAGGTTGGGACAGCTTCTCCAGAAAAATACGGTTCGTATACATGAACAAGAAAATGTTTATAATCATCCGATGTGTCATCCCGACTCACCGCGCTGCCTAATAGACAGGAGACAAAAGAAAAGCAACCCTGTTCGGCATCTAATCGCATGAGTTAAAAGTGTATAATTGATGTAGTACATGTAGCGGGATATCTGCATTCTCATCGGCAGCCGTCCAAACTTCCTATAGATCCCACAGTGGAATCTATAGTGAAGTGGGATTCCCACTTCATCATTCGGTGCTATGGGTTGAAACGTAAATGAGTTGAAATTTGACTACTGTATGCGGTTCAGACTGCGAACGTACTAGAGTTGGCCAGAAACAGTTGTTCCTACGTCCAAAACTGTAAATAAAGTCACTTAGCTGAGGCACGGAAGCGACTTCAGACTGTCCCCCAGTGTTCGTATTTGTTACGAGTCTGACTACGGCGAATCCTCCCTTGAAAGGCGGATAAAACAAGAGTATATCAATGACTTCAGAAGGCAAGGCGTCGATTAGACGTATTCAGCTTCGTGAACCCATGAGGTCGAGAAAAACTTCAATTGTCGAGCCAAATGTCCAATACTCAAGGACCACTTGGATGATAAGCTTCCAAGACAAGGAACAATATGTCACCTCCTTTGAAGTTTCGAAGTGACGATCCCCTACAATATGATAGCAGTAGCCATTCTTTTTTGTGGATAACTTTGCGTTGCGTTGCGCTGTAAAATATTCAAGATGATAAAATTGTCCATGAAACCTTTGCGATCTGGAACAGGAAAGCATGTTATATAACACGACGAAATGGCGTATCAAAGCGATGTTTTGAGTTTCTTCACCAGCACGACGACCCTTGATAATCTTCAATGATAGAAAACCACAACAGCTTTGCATCATGCTGTACGATTTCTTAAAAAAGTCATAAAGCAGATGGCAAAGTTGTCCTTGTGTATCCATCATAAGAGAAAGGCCCATCTCGCTTCCCTATCGAACCACCATATACAAGAGGAGACAGTCTTTCAGCGACTAAACTCGCAAGGATACATACATCAAATTTCAAAAGCAATCAGGTTACAACGCGACAAGACTACGAATGAGCAAATTCAGTACAATCCGACAAACTTCCAAAAAAGTTCTTGCTTATTATTTCTTTACAATACAAATATGTGAGTCTATGTGATAGCACAGATACTCGATAAAAATCCTCCTCGAATGATAGAATAGACAGTGACACCTTTGCATCACGCTAGATGGCATCTTCAAATTGAGACTTCATTCAGCATGTAGCAAAGGCGTCATTGTCCACTCACCAAATAAGTAACTCTACTTTCATCGAGTCGGAAGCTGTAGATATGGCCACGTAGTATGATAGACCATGCAGCGACACCTTTACATCAAGCTCCACCTAGTCCTTTCCACACAAGATTCATGTAGCATAAAGTAAAGATGTCACTGCATAGTCATCATGATTCACCATCCACCACCACAGCTACCATCTCGACAAGCGCTTCTTGCTTTGACACCAGCCCTGCACAACACTTCCGCAAACACCATCGTCGAGCAATACTTCAACTACATATCAAAGGCGACCAAAATTCATCAGCCGTCATCTCTCTTCTAGTAGTGAAACTGTAATCAAAATGCATATCGCATTAGACAGTTATGCTCCCCTAATTTCAACCAAAACGGAGGCAATGACATCGCTCCACTACCCCGTTGATTGTGATCAGCGTACAAATCGGATAAGAGACGGCACGTATATGATGATAAGTGTATATCAATGATATATTCAATTAGGATGATCCGCAGCTAATACGCTCCATGCTACGTATAATAGGCAGAACAACAAAATTCGAATGTAAACCTTATCGGGCAAGTTTAGTCCACGTTCGAAAGTTGAACACCACACCGATAACGTAAACAAACCACCATTCCCTGGTGAGTAAAGAGCTCCATACGATTCCATGTGAGGGGATTGAGGTATGGAAAACATTTGCTTCCAGCACTGTATGTAATTACCCCTTCGTACTTTAGGGAACACTTTAAGAGAAGATGAGACATGCTGGCCTAAAAGGAGCTTAGGTGGACAGTTATACGAAAGTTGAACGCACACTGGGCGGTCCACATGTTGCGATCTCTAAACAACAACTCACAGATCACAGTCGAGTTGGATAAGCTGATGAAAAAATTCGTAGTTTGGAAGACCCGTCCGCATGTTGCATTCTAAACGATAACTCACAGATCACAGCCAAGTTGGCTAAGCTGATGACAAATTTCGTACTTTATGAGAGCATTCCTTTTTTGTATCAATTTGAAAAATTATGAGTACACTGCTTTTCTCCATCGACGTCGGATCCACATATCGAATTTCTGGGACATCTGTTTACTCACATGAACGAAATGCCGGACAAGCCTCTTCTGAAAAGTTGGATTCTTAGAGTGCTATGAGGAGGGTGAAGGTCTGCTGCCGTCAGGTCCTGCATCGCGTGACCCTGAGTTGACATAAGGACCTCTCATAACAGCTTGAGGTGGCAAAGGCTTGCTGGAGTCGATCATCGGACTTGTGTTCACCCTGTTCATGACGATATCAAAACATAACAAATTTCTCAATGCAAAACACAACAACCTTCTCAATGCCCCATTGTGGACTTTTCACATTAAGGCAAGCTTTTTACTTCTCTATCCACATCGAACGAATGAACAAGTGAAGATGACAGAGTCCAAGCCGTGCTTGACCTGACAACTTCCATAAAGTAGACAAGTATGACTTGCTACCTGATCAGAAACATCAACGTGAACACTCAATCCACATCATCTATCGATTGTCTATTGAACCTCCTGCTTTGTTGGGGAACTGACCAGGATCACTCTCAGCGAAATCGACTCAACTTTGATAACCACTGATCTGTTTGTCGCTCATTGAGGAAGCCACATACATACGTGGAGAAAAGTTTCCCATACCTTAAAAAGAAAGGAAAGGCAAGCCCACATGCAGCGAAGGCTGCCAACCCTGTTGCGGTGATTGCATTCCTTGACACCATCTCTTACTGCTGACTTTAGCAATCAGTACTGTAAGTTGAGGATTCCTCAACCCTCGCTCATACCTGTCGCCCCGATCTGTTCAAAAGGCACACGAGGACTATGTAAGCCCTCCAGTACGAATTGGACATAAGTTTCTGTCGACACTATAAGGCCAAAGTCTTCTTTCTACGCAGAGTGGAAAGAAGGACTAAATTCCGAAGCAACTTTGGACGTCAACAAATCGAATGCATCGGCTTCTCTTAAGTTCAAGCCAGACTACACGAAAAAACCAAATGCTCCTAATATCCTAATAAAAACCGAAAAGAAACCCGATCCCACACAGCTCATTTGGCAACGCACGAATTACATACAAGCAGGACCCGCGATGTAAGAAACACACGCAGATCTAGTCTGGACGAAGGCATATCAGCAAGGAGCTGAACGTGCAAGCAAACGACCACTTATTCAACTACTATTCGGGTGTAGATCTAACCACGACCACATGGTAGACAAGAGCAAAACCCTTCTGCAGCGCATATGCCTTTCTTTTCCTCTCAGCCTCTCTCGCCTCGCAAACAAACAATTCATACAAAAGGCGAAGAAAGAGCGCAAAGAATCACACCCCTACGCAATGAAAGCTTCCCGACCACCAACACTGTCTAAAGATCCCCATCAGATTTCATCACATCCTACTCCGACTTTTTCACAGCCATTCCTGACAGGCAAAGATACACTGGCTACCTCAAGCGCAGAAAATAAGGAGCTGCAACGCAGCGCGCGATCCCAATGTATCTGTCGGCCAATATGCACAAGAAAAAATTACAATCTCTTACGTGGTACTGTCCGGACGTGGCTACGACCTCCGTTTTATTCCTTGTGATCAGCTCAGAAATCGGCAAAAAGCTGGCGATCGGGTAGTGCACATGCCGAAGATTCCAAAACAAGGAGCGGAACATGTTACCAGTTGCGAGAGCAGCTCGACTCTAGAGGGCGTGCCGAGTTTTGTCGTGACCTGGATCCTGAATGCTCGTCGCAGGGACGTCTCGGCCCCCAGGGAGTCCATGAGAACTGATGTTTCGATCAGCCAAAAAGCGAATGAAGACTGCCGGCACCCTACATTCGCAATTTCTGAAACCTAACCTTTGCGAAAGGTGGCAAATCTGATTCAGTGTAGCGTCGAGCGACCGTTAGATGTCGACACGGAGGGTAGGGATTGGACATAGGTGTTGCGGATTGCTACTTTTCGCGGAGCTAGACCTCCGGCCGGTCTGATCTTTCATCTCCAGAACCTTCCGTTGTGGATTTGCTTTCGAACTAGAGGACAAGCAGCGCACCCAGTGGATTCTTCCCCGAGTGACCTCCACCACCCGGTAAACTCTAGGCCGGTGTCCTTTCAGCCTTTCTATCACGATATTATAAACGCGTGACGCAGAGCCCCGTCACTTAACTTGGAAATTGTCCCTGTGGCTAATTGGGCGAGACAAGAACCCTTGTCGGTTATTCGTTTCCGATTGTCGGTCACCACCCCCCTCCCCCCTCCCGCCCCACCCAAACAATGCTTTCTCCCACTTTAATAGACCACTGCCTGCCACTTCTGCTGCACTTTGTCTTTCATCCTTCATTCTTTCGATTCGGCCTACTGCGTTGCACATTTTAACAAAAGAATACATTTGTATTTCACTACCGGTACTTTAACTGCATCATGGGCGTTCAAGATGGGCAGAAGATGCTCGTTTAGCCGTCATTCTACTCAATGTTTCATATTTCACATTCAGCGGCAGTCAATTTTGTTTAGCAAAATGGTTGTCATTGAGTTGCTCTCTCGCATTTCGAACACTCCATCCTATTTATTTGGAATCATAAGGTAGGTCTTTTGTGAGTTCAAGCACCCCCCTGATCATATGGATGAGGACCGTTTTCCCGAGTACTACAAGGCTCATGGAAATAAACCTTAGATAAATTCGTCGACAATACATTAGAACAATGACTTCAACCACGGTTGAAAATCATTTATTCTTACAATGTCCATAGTATTGTTACTTTCTTCCTCCAAGTAGAGAGGTCCATTTATATGGGTTTATATCAAGTAATCAGATGCAATTTCGAGTTAAGAAATATTACGAGTTAAAAAATACAGCAAAGAAATTTGTAATTCATGCAAAACATTGTACTCTTGGCTTTTAAATGTGTAGAAACACCTAATAAAATTTGAAATAGTTCTCAAAGTTAAGCTATTGCTCTCAAATGTAAAAAAATGATATGTCAAATAATTACAAAGCCAACAATGAAATATTGAAAACAATTTCACATTGCTTTTGTGTGCGAAAATAACATATTTCAATTTTATAATATTATTTTATATTTATTCTCTTTTTTTTTATTTTTCATCTCATACATATAAAAATGACTTGAAAGAAGTATTTAAATATTACAGATTTTTTTAAAAAATCCAATTTTAAATTAATATTTATAAAAATACGATATTTTTTGTACTTCATTTGATCTTCAAAATTTCGTAATATAATCTTTGTTCAATACATATAATATTTTGACAAATTTTCACCATCTTATTTGTTATTATCACTATTTTATATTCTTGTGTCATTTTAAAAGTTAGTGTATACTTTTATTCAAATGAAGTATGCTACTAATATTTTTTTTTTCAAGGGCTAAGATACTTTGACAATGAATGTCAATTTGATAAAAGATCCAAAAAAATTGTAGATTTTATGAATAAATAATTCAGTCAAATTTGTATCTTTGTATAATATGTGAGAAAAAGAAAAAAAGTTTCAATTATTTTTCAAAAATTATTTTGTGGTGCAAATTACACTATAAATAATATTTACAAATATGACTGAAAAAAATGCTTTCAATAATAAAAATATATATCTAGTGAAAAACATAAGAACAAAAGTAAAAAAAAAAAGTTATTTGTCATATCTAAATATTTCTTGCAAGTTATAAATTCACTAAAATCAAAAAGACAAAAAATCAATCAATAAACAATTTCCATATTTTTTAAGTCAATACATTTTTCAATTTTTACTCAAAGTACAAAATTTGTACATGACCATTATGCTAATCTAAGACTTGAGACTTACTTCTCCTCTTTCTTTTGTGGTTAACTTGCTCTCTAAACCAAGTTCATAAACCAAGAATTTGGATAGTTATCTTCAAGTTCATATGAAGTTAGAATCACAATGTGGTTTGCGATCCATAGATCATCAGCGAAGTCAAGCTCATGCACTCATGGGCCGTGTAGAGAGCACGCGTTACTACCATAACTTTCTCCTCCATCTTTGTAATGAATGGAATTTTGGCCATATTAATTTTGGCAATTTTAAAATAAAATTGCAAATTAAAGTAATATTGTGCTACATGCACACATTGTGTATAAAACAATCCAATAATTAGAGAATCATATACAAATCAATTATATGTGAATGATTGCAAGTAAGAAATTATTTTATATTTCAATACATGTTATTTTTGAATTGTGTATTTAAAAATGCACATATGTTAATTATAGACTAATAACTGATGTATATATTAAAAAAATGTGCCATATGCAAACATAAATAATTAATTATTCTACTTTATGGCAACATGGCAGCACATAAAACACTACTTTTGCTTCTCGACAGAGAATAAGATACCTGAAGAAAACATTATCAACTAAGTGCACACCTCTATTATTCAGTATCATTAAAAATGATAACATCTTTCAACATTTTGAAAATCACTTATACTGTATATTTTTGTGATTTGAAAACATAAATCACTTAATACCAAGGTAAAATATTTACAGCATCTGAATTCAATTATTTATTCATTCTACTTTAATTACCTCATAATTTTATTAATCATAACATTTTGTTGCCTCACTTTTTATAAAACATTATATAATGTTGATTTTGTGGTGTAACATATTTTCAGATTTGTTGTTGAACACTATTTTGGAAATTAGTTTTTTTACATAATTATATAGAGAAAATTTATAATTTTCATGAAAATTTTCTTATATTCCAAGAATGAGTTTGAAAAATTAAATAATCAAATTTTTATTGCAAATTTTTAAAATATGTTTCATGTTTTTAAATGCTTTTGTAAAATCTAAAATAGTATATTTTTTATAGCAACAAAAATGAAAATATTTCCAACTTACAAATTTTTATAATTATTTAAAACAAATTCTCAATCATGAGTTATTTTATTGTGGTTTTTAATTTTTTATTTATGTGCTATTCATTTTTTCCTTCATCATTTCAAATAATTCAAATATTGAAACCATGTTGAAAATATTAAAAAGAGTTTTATCCAGATGATAAAGTTGATTATCTATTCATAATTTTAATACCAAAAGGTGTAATTTAATTTAGTAAAATAATTTTTTTAATCGGTGAAAATGAATAAACTAAAATATATTCATCTTGAATGTTTGGATTTTATATGCATTATCAATAAAGAAAATCAACGTTATCAATAGTAGTATCATAGTTTTTAAATTCTCAATTGACTAAATAATGAGTTACAACCTTAAGATTTCATTGATACACTTATTACAATAAATCATACATTTAGATCTTCATGATTTTAGTAGCTTGCATAGGTATCATCGTCAACAAGAGTGTAAGTTTAAAATGTACAATCAAGTTATATATCTTTAGTACTTAATACAAGAGTACTTATTCTCAGTTTAGTTGCATATTACAATTTATCATTCCATATCTAGCTTATTGCATTGAAGATATATAGCTTGCTGATGTGATAGTAGTAGTAACTGGCAAGTTGTTGAAATTTTGTCTTTAAATATAATATTTAGCTATGTAATACAATGTAATAATGATGTAGATGTAGTAATACAAATTTCTGTTGAACATTATCTTAATGTTATATTGGAAATTCCAAAATAAAAGTTTATTATCTTTATATGTATCAATGCTTTGAACCAATTTAATATAACATTCTTAGGTCACAATATTCTCTTTGTAAGAAAATAAAGTACATACGAGCAGATGTTTAAAGTAAGAAATTATTTAGTGCAATTGAAAATGCAGAAAACAACTTCAAAATACAACCAGACTGAAAATATATACTATATTATTTTTGATACTAAACTATCACTCAATAATTATATTTTATAATATTTTTGCAAAAGATTTATAACATGTTCAAAAATATTTGAAGTGAATTGCATAATTCATTTATTTTAATTTTGAAAATTAATTTGTGAAACTTATTTAGCATACGTTGAATGCATTTGACTTGATTCAAACATAAATTTATGTTTTCCAAATCCTTATGAACATGCATAACTAATATTTTTTGGATGCACATGAATTTTTCATTTGTAATACAAATTTCAATTGATCTTTGCATGTGTTGACGCAATTTAATTTATCTGTTGTCCAAATAAACATGCTTTTCATGCAAATGTCAGACAAATGACATTTAAAACCTCGATATTCATTAATTTTCATATACATACTTTTAACAATCTTTAGTTGGATACAATAAAAGTAAATTATATTCAATGTGAAGATAGAATTTCATTATAGTGGACTATTTATAATTTTCATGTCATGAATCTGTATATGTAATATGTATCACCATCATACAACAAATCATACTTCTTGATTCAAACTAATGAGCCGCATTGGCTTAACACATAGTAACATGTGTGATTTTACATAACAATCATGTTTGATGTGGTCACATTTGTCATATGACTAGCAAACTATTGTCTTATTTTTTAAACATTACGCATACAAATTGGATTTATCCTCAAGTTCAAAACACTTGTAGTATTTGTCATTTTTTGAATATTATTCATTTTGAGTGAAATTTGATTACATATCTAAAAATAATAGTATATATGAAATCAACTGTATGTCAATCACGATAAAACAACAAAACTTAGAATGATTGATATGATACACATAATGTGTCCAAAAAAATGAAGAAGTGATACCTCTATCACATATCAACTTTACAAATATTTGAAGATAAATAATAAGATTAAGAAATAGATTAATATAATCTTGGATCTTTGTATCCAATGTTTCAGCTTAGAGT